AAAAAAAAAAAGAAGAAGAAAAGAAAAGAAAAGAAAGAAACTGGGATCCACCATACTTGCACTGTCCTCCTGGAGACTAAGGGTGCTATATCGAACCTGGTGGAGTTGGAAAGGACTCCAGAGTTCCTGGCATCCCCGGCCAAGCAGGTGCCACAGAGGAGTTGCAAGGGCCAGCCCCAGGTCACCCCAGCTGGACCTTGACACTTGAGCTGGGGATGGCTTCCTGCTCCACCTGAAGGAAGCAGCCTGGCCTCAAATTCTCATTTAAGTCTTCCTTAAGCTGGGACACAGCTCCACAAGAATGACAAATGGATACAGAAAACAGCAGAATGCAGGAAAAAAAAAAATAAAAACAGGCTAAAGAAATTATAGTCTGAGGCTATCTCTGGCACTACCCATGCAAGTTCAGGTCATGAAGAAGATTTTTAAGTGGCTGTTTTAGCAGATTGCTTTAATACACCCATAGGTATCTCACTTTTGGAAAAAAGATAGCAAGCTTCCACCTTTCTGTATCTTTTTTTTGTCCCTTGATAAAGGAGCAAATAAGAACTTTTTTTGAAGTATAAAAATAAGCAAGAAAGAGTAAGCGGCAAGGAAGACAAAACCCACACATACACCACAGTGCAGAGAGCAAGTCCCTGAACTAAAGGAACCCCCGCGTCACCTGAAAGATGGTGTGCATGATGACAGTCAGGGGCCGGTTCCCGGACAGCTCCGCTATCCTGAAGACATGAAGGCCCCACTTGTTCACATCTTCTAGCTCCTGCGGCGGGAGAAGATGCCACACAGTCAGGGTGGGGAAGAACTGGGACGAAAAGCACAGCCTCCCAGCCACTGACTCGGTGCGAAGACACTTAGATTATTCCAAACAGTGATTCATTTTCGATGTAACACAGACACTGTTAAGTGAGGCAAACTTTAGGCAAATTAACTTCAATGTACAGACACTGAGTATTACTATGTCAGGATTTGGACAACATAATAGATTCTCTTGTACTCTGAACATTGATTTCAAACCACTTCTTTAGTGGATAAAATTTACACACATAAACTCTGTTGTCCTTTTAAAACTCAGAAGAGATGGGAGACTTCTAGATCAAAAAACAGGGACATTGCAAAAAAAAGAAAAAGTAGTTGCAGAAAGCATACACCAAGCATCTATGAAATCTACATATTAATAAAACCCAAATAACCTACAAAGCCTTATAAAGCATATTTCCATTTTCCAAAAAAAGAAAAGAAAAAGTTCACATATATTAATAAATTTTCCATCCGTATAAAAGTGAAGGAAAAGGCATTATTTCACACTTAAAATAAACACTCACTGAAATCACCTACCTTGGCCAGGACATCTTCTTGTTCTGTTTTGACCCCGAACCTTGGGATACTTGAGTTAGTGAGGCTCGAGCTATGCATCAACTTCTTGACTCCGCTGATCTGAGACATGGGCCTTTTCTTTTTCTCCTTTTCCTTCTGAGTCGGAGAAGGAATTTCCACTTCATGTTGCTTATCTTAAGAAATTTAGAAAATGTTCTACATTTATTATAAATTCCACTTGTTTTTATAAGCCTCCTAGGCATAATTACAGGTTTAAATGATCACTACGTATTCCAGTCATACTTTAACTCATAGAGTGTTTACAATGCAATGTAGACTTATTTTGAGATCTTCAAAACAAGAAAACAAGCAAAAAAACAAACAAAACACTAATTCATTAATATAAAGTGTCCAAGTGGTGACCTTTTGATACAAGATCCCAACAAAACCTTTGCAACACCCACGCCAACAGGTCTGCAGAGAACAGAACACCACCTCTACTCCCACTTGAAATCCAGTTAGTGCCGTGAAAACTGCTCTTGCCATAGTAAAGGACTTCAGTTTCAACACATGCTTTAAAATGCTAGAGACCTCATATGCAAATGTAATGAAAACAGAGATGTAGGCGCCTAACAGCTAACTGAAAGGTAGCTGGGATTGAGGGTGGCAGTGTATTAAGGTCATACTGTAGGACATGAAACAGCAGTTCTGAATGATTTGATGATTTCTGTTGCTTTTTAGTTCTCTATGCTGGTGGGATGGGACCTATGACATAACTAGGGCTGATGGGGACCACAGAACATGCCAAACAGTATTCAGTGGGTGACTTTTCACATATATTACTTGCTGTTTTCTACAGTAAAGGACAAAAGATGTCTCAATATGTTCACCCGCCACTGTGAGGGCTGTGAGCTATCCTGATTCCTCTGTGTACATCATGCAGGTGCAGTAATTTCTACTTAATGATGTGCTAGAGAAATTGTGGGATGAATGTAAATCCAAACAAACAAGATACTCAAATTCCTGACTTACATTTAGCACACTTTATTTTTTCAAATGAGACAAAGGGGTTGTCCCCGGAACACCATTCTCTTAGCTAGTGCTTTTCGCCAGCAGTTGTGCTGTCTCTGCCCACCTCTTGGTTAGGGTTGGTGTCTATTAGGCTTTCAAGTTATCAAGGACAGATACCAAATATATATCGTGGCATATGAAAAGAATCCATTGAATGTATGCCTATATAAAAATATATTTTACAGTTTATTACTATATAAAAAATAGCTGGCTGGAGACACAGCTCAGAGGAAAAGCACCTCTTAGTATATATGACACTGTGGGTTTAATATCTGGCATTGCTAAATGAATATATAATGAAAATATACTGTCATCTCATGCTATTAAAGTTTTAGACATGTACAGTCTCAAGTTATTAATATGGAGAGTAAAACAAATGGAATGGGAAAAACTCATGTGGTTTCCAAAATGAGCTAGCTAGCATTCCAGTTGGCCTCCAAAAACAAACAAGTAAACAATTTTAAAGAAAATCCAAATTTTTGTGTTGTTGTTATTCTCACCTAAGAACGTATTTGAAATATACTCTGATACTTGATTTCCAGACCGACTCATTTCAGAGAGATGGGTGAGCTCCCGATTAAGCATCCTTTTAAACTGAAAAGCAAAAGGGCATAATGAACTCAGAGAAGAGCAAATGGTAAGTAAAGTAGCATAAACCTACTCTGAGGTACTGGAAGAGACACGACAATTTAGAGCAGAATTTTTCTGCAAAACAAACAAACATCCCACCAAAATCTCTACTGTCCATGACAATAACCATTAGGCACATATACATATTAAGCACTTAAAATCTGGTTAGTGAAAATGAGAAAATGAATTTTGAATTTCATTAGTTTCATTTGCCTTCAACTTGAATAGACACAAGCACCTTGTGGCTGCCATAAACAACACAGATTTTGACACTGTATGACATCAGTAGTGAAAAGAATAAAAAGTTAAGAGGTATTATTACCATTTACAGAACAAAATCCAACTTATTAAGCACAAAAGTATTGGTACAAAACTCAACATGTTACACTGCTATCAATTTATAATTACCAGAACTTAAAATATATTATCGGTCAAGGTTGCAAACTAGTCTTTCATTCAGAGGAAAAAGGAAAGCGTTATCTGAATACTTTTTAAAGACTGTGAAGAAACAAACTATTTGAGCAAATACTGTAGGTATAATATTTCCTTTTAAAAGCTTTTTTTTTTTTTTCAATGAAGAAGTATGAGATTCATTGGCCTTCAGCCTTCACACAAGTTTCCAGGTCCCAAACCACAACACAGCAAACAACTCTGCTTTCAAAATTCAAGTTGCTTACTTCACAGTTTATTTTATTGCAGCCATGGTGCCTACTTTATCCAAAGATGCTCGGGTATTAATACATCCCACCAGCACGTGCCATTCCTATTGTTGAAAGTTCCCAAGATTTCATATTCCCCTCCCCATAAGGTACTAATTCTTAATATGTCTTATTTCAATTCTGAGATTTTTTGGTACTGAAAATTGAACTGAGGACCTCACACTTGCCAGGCAAAACACTGTGCCACTGAGCTATATCCCTGGCTCTAACAAGTCCTTTAACAATGCTCTACACACACAGTAACAAACTTTTCAACAGGTAAATGTTACTAGACACTTTACCTAAAAATTCAAGCCCATTTTACTCTACTCTTTAGTGGCCTTTAAGTATCTGAGTTTCATTCTAAATCCCCGTGTAACTTTGGAAAAGTGAGTTTATTGCGAGTTTTCAAAAACACAAAGGTGGCGGAACTCAAAAGCAGTTTAACAAATCTCTTCCACAGTTGGTATTACAGAGCATCTAAGTTAGGTATAGAAATTTAACTATAATCACAAAACAGTAAGGGCAACAGAACCCCCAAACAATAGTCTGCTGGATATAGAGAATGCATATGAACATTTGCTTGCGGGCAAAAATGAAGAACTGAGGGCTGGCCAAAGAGCTCAGTGGATTAAAGCACCTGCAAGCAGGTGCAGGGGGTTCAATCCCAAGCCTACCGAAGTCCGATCTAGTAGTGAGACCTTGAACACCCTGTAGACCCTTCCCTAAAATACAGAAGAAAAAAAAAATGAAGAACTGACCCCTGTGAGTCCAAGTCCTAGTTTTTTCTTTACGGCTCTAGGGATCTTAATCTCAAGTTTTATTTTCCTTATTTATATTTTATTACATCTTGTTAATTATAAACATATACATACAACAGAAACCCAGAAAGCTATGCAAAGAAAAAAGCCATGTAAATCTCTGCTGCTCAAAGATACCCACGAATGGTTTAACTATATTTGTTCTATTATTTTTCTATCTTTGTATGTATACTGATATCATATGATATAAAAAATAGGAGTTTCTGCTTGTTTTTATTGAACATTACATACTATTATTTACTGGAAAAAGTAAAATTTAATGAGTAAGAATATTCATAAAAATATATACAAGTGTTCAAAGTGTTTTCTTTTAATTTATTTATTTATTTATTTATTTTGTGGTACCGGGGATTGAACTCAGGACCCTGCACTTGCCAGGCAAGTGCTTATTCAACTGAGCTATCTCCTCAGCCCCCAAGTATTTTCTGATCATCTTCACAAGTTACATTTTCTGAATCAAGGTCTGGCTGTTTTCCAATTAGATGAAAGCATCTCATGTTCAACCTGGGATGTACATGTGCTTGGTCCTATCTGAGTCTTTCTCCCAGCACCCTTTTCTGCACTCTGTTCCCGACCTCTGGACCCATCATAACAGTGACTGACTTGTATCACCTGGACACAGGTGAAGCACAAGGAACTGAGGGCAGTATTCATAAGGAAAACTGTGGCTGTATTTCAAAAACATTCTATCATTTATAATCTCTCACAGGTGAAAAAATCCTTGCCTTACAATTTACCCTTGGAAGGGCTGGCCAATAACTCAGTGGATTAATTGGGGTTTCAATCCCTGGGCCTGCCATTCTGGCCCTGCCCCCCAGGGTGTGCTGAGACAATAATTGAGACTGGGCATGGTGGCACACGCTAATCCCAGCTCTTGGGACGCTGTAAACAGGTGGATTACTACAAATCTGACCTAGTAGTGTGACCCTGAATACCCTGTAGACCCTTCCCTAAAATACAGAAAAAAAAAAATTCACCCTTGGAAAAATCTATTCATTAGAGAAAACACATTCAAAGGACAGTGTGTGTTAGCCATTTTAATCATGTGCTCATTAAAGTACCTCTCTGACCTTTCACTTTCCATGTGATGAAATAAAGTCACTATTAAGAACTACTTGGCCATGACAAAGCCTTTTACATAAAACATTATGGAACAGTTACTGCTTTCAGACTCACGGCAGGCAGTTGGGTGGGTGACCGTGGCCCACAGTGCACTTCTTTCAGTGCAACTCAACAATATGACAAAAGCCTTCTGAGAACAACTGGAAAAATTACACAGAAAACACCAGTTTTCAGCACCACCTAAACTGTACACAACCTGGCGTGAAAAACATTTTATGCCCAAGTGGAAAGATTTTTCATGCTACCTGTAGATGTTGATTTTTTTTTGAAGACTACGAAAAAAAAAGTCTAAGTTTTTTTGGAAGTTTGCCTATATAATTCATCAAAATATGTAACAAAGACAAAAAACAATGACAGTGAAAGGAGTCTACTGTGAGGACCAACAAAACAACAGATTGCATATTCCACTGAGCACTCCTGCATCAGATGTAGTTTTACCACACAACTACGCTCCTCTTCATTCAAAACTCCAAACTAGGAATTAGCGAAATCCTTGATAACATACCTGTCCTTCTACCAAGGCTTGTACAATGCTCCGAGAGTTGATTTAACTTTAATATATAATTATAAGATACAACATTTAGAATAAGTCACTCTCTTCCCAAGGATGGGAAGATGCTGGATTTCCTAAAGTCAATTTTCTGCAAGTCAATTAACTTATAGCATAAAGGTATTTTCCAAAAGGAAGCAAAAATGTCTACCATTTTGACACCGATAGCACATTTTCAATCTAGGGAAGCCAAATTAATAATGACAGTAATGACCATGAGGCCTTCTGCATTACCAATTTACGTTCAGAATTGGTTTTAGAGTTTCTCAGCACATCATTAGGCCGCTGTACTAATAAACAAGAGCCTAAGCCATCTTTAGATATCAGTGGAATTTCTCAGATTTTTAGAAAAGTATGTCGCACTCATTAAGATAACTAATAAAATTACCAGGGTGGGAGCAAAGGAGAATGCAAAAGCCAGTACACGCTTCCCAGAACACCACTGCCCGGGGTATGCGCACTAACAGACTGAGAAAAGGCAAAACACAGAACTGCTTTTCAATAAAAACGCTTGGAATGCAGAACATTTTTAAAAAGCGACCACAATATTTTCTGCTTATGAAATACTCAGGTTTTAGCCTAACTAGTTTGAAAACAACATAGGATACCATGGTCACTAAGAAAAAAAGAGGCTGACTTGGAAGGGGAGGTGTTCCAGCCCTTTGTTCTCACCAGGCAGGAGAATACGTGCAGCACTTGAGGCGAAGCGAGAAAACGCAGCTGAATCTGCACGCTGCAATTTGGAATTCCAGCTAATTTATGTTCTGCATTTCAGATTGTGAAGGAAGCTGAGTATTTAATAAAATACTCTGAAATGCAATCCTCTGTAATTTTGTATCATGTCAGCATGTATTACACAGTCTCCTAGTATATACAGCAGATCAAACGTTAAGAAAATGCTTGTTTCTCCACAATTCTCTGCTAATAATCCTTTAATGTCTCCGCTGCCGTGCACTATGGGTCTAGAAGGCAGCAATATTAAAGGCTATTTAAAAGAGCACTGTATTTGTTTCATAAAAGAGAAGACCAAATATATCTATTTTGGCCCTTTTTAAAAGTTTTAATTATAAGTATTGAAACAAACACAAAACTATCCAGCAAAAATTTTCCTCAAAAAGATAAATCCTAAAATTTTACATTAAGAGACTCAGAGGTATTGTTCTTAATTCAAACATTAACACAAAGCTGTACAAAACTGCATCAAATATGAGCTGGCTAAAGCTAAATGGATAATTCGGGAGTGATTATAAGTGCTTCTTACTTACTTAAAAATGTTTGGTCAAGAAATTATTAGTATTCAACAGATTCAAAAAATCTACACATTTAGAAACATTTTAGAAATCTAACCAGTCAAAAATTGAAAAGGAGATGAAAAACATCGCGATTTGGACAACCAAAACTGAAGCATATTTGAATTTCTTCAAATTAAAATAAAACTCAATAGGAAAGGGAAAATTTGCCTTCTTAAAGAAAAAGAGACATTTCAATCTGAAAGTCCTCAAAGTAATGGAAAACGAGTCTTTGAAAGTGTGTGGGGACAGGCTCAAATATCCAAGGCTAAGGCTCTCTTCTGAAATGATGCCCGCTCTGCCTGAAGGCTTTCTCCCTCTCGCCTTCACCATGGAAACAGACCACAGGGCTAGGCTCACCTCAGTCCTCAGCCAGGCAAAAATTCTCTACCACGGGCACAATTCTATTAAACACAGTGAATTCCTTTCTTGAAATTAATGAAGCAGTATCATATAAACATTCAGTTTTACAAGCAGATAATCA